GGCCGCACACGTGGTGCACGAGAGGCGACCCGAGTGGAGCTCACAGGATCAGTAGTTGGAACGGTGGTTAATCGCACACGAGACGTGCTCGGGTTGGGGTTCTTTCATCCGTACCGCGCTCGAATGAGGCCAATTTCGAGAATTCTAGTTTTAGGATTCCGGAAGATTGTATTAAATCCCAGGATTGACTCTATTTTCGGATATTGTTTTTCAAGTTTGGTTCCGTTTGGTTGCTTCTGGAGTATATAGGAATTTCAAATCTAGTTATATATATATATATATATGAGGCAATAAGGGTAATGTTGATACCAAAACATAAATTTTGTGCTTGTAGTGAGGTGGCACAATCCCCCTCCACTCATTCAAATGGTGGACCAATATTCACATGAGTTGAGGAATGCATGGGGATATGTAATCATTTGAATGAGTGGAGGGGATTATGTCACCTCACTACCAAGCACAAAAAGTTGTGCTTGGTACCAAGCATACCCATTTTTCTCTCTCTCTCAATGGTATGTGCGTATGCTTGGTACCAAGCACAACTTCTTGTGCCTTGGTAGTGAGGTGACATAATCCCCTCACACTCTATATTGTCATATCGCCGCATCCTTAAAAATACTTCTCTCTCTGAATATATTATATTATATATATATATATAGTATATTATTAATATACTATATAATATATATATATTATATATATTTTACATTCTGTATAAAGCTGTTTTTTGTTTGTTTGTTTCATTTTCATATGTAAATGCTCGAAGAAAACACTTTCATATTGTAAGGGTTGGATTTTTTTTATAAATTGTATTATATCATATCATACTCTTTTCTAAAAGTTGGGAGATTGGAAAAATCTTTACCTAGACAACATTACTCTTGACTCTTGTAATTATTACATTGTTATCTTATCATAATTGATATATTTAATTAGAACAGTTAATGTGTATTCATAGTTTATTTGAAAGTATAGTCTTTAGTTAAAATCTCTATCATCAAACAAGTTTTTATCCTGTCACATAGACTTATTTCAAGCATGGCGGTTTATGTTTGCAAACTTTATGCATACACCCCTCTCCTAATAGAAATTCTATTAGATAAATAATTAGCTATAGAAAAAAATCATCTAAGCCCTCTAAAATTTTTATTATTTATAAATTAAAAATTTCATGTATCCCCTTTATGGTAGTCCCCAATCACCAACTCTTTTAATTATCACATTGTTATCCTATCATAATTAATACATTTAATTAGAATAATAAATATGTCTTCATAGTTTATTTGAAAGTATAATCCTAAGTTAAAATCTCTATCATCAAACAAATTTCTATCCTATCACATACACTTATTTTACGCATGGCCGATTATGTTTGCAAACTTTATGCCTACATCCCTCCCCTAATAAAAATTCTATTAGATAAATAATTAGCTATAAAAAGTTTTCATCTAAATCCAAAATTTTAATTTATAAATTAAAAGTTAATCGATCCACTTTTCTATAATGTCATCCTCATCCATGTTAGTCCACAATCACCAATAAAAATGGATAAATCTTTCATCTAGCACTCCAAAATTTTTTATTCATAAATTAGAAATTACTTTTTAATTAAATAATCTAAATTTAGTTTGTTGGGAGATTCATTTTTACTACATGTACAGATCATTTTATGTTTTGAAGTAACGACGCCAATGGGATTTACCTAGAAAAGTGTAAGATCAGGGGGTTTGTATGAGAAATCCCATATCTGAGGGGGTTAATAAAATTTCATTTAAGTCCTCCAAATTTTGTACTTACAGATTAAAAGTTAATCGATCTATTTTGCTATGATATTCTTATCGGCCATGTCACCAATAAAAATGGATAAAGTTTCCATCTAACACTCTAAACTTTTTTTATTTATAAATTAGAAATTAGTCCAAATTTAATTAGATAATCAAAATTTAAGCTGTCTAGAGATTTATTTTTACTACAACAAGTATTTAGATCATTTCCTATTTTGAAGTAACGATATCAGTGGGATTTACTGAGAGAAGTGTAAGATCAAAGAGATTTTTATAAGAAATATCATATTTGAGGGGTGTAGGCGTCAAAAATTGCTATAGATTATCGTACGTAGCTCAAGATAGAGAGAAGACAATAAACGTCATCATCTGAGTTGCAAAGGATCATCCAAAGCTAAAGATCAACTAAAGAATGCACAAGAAGCACATCACACGAGTTTCAAGGCGTAAAACATGTATCAGAGATATAAAGAAAAATTACAGTTTATGAGACAGTTACAACTGTCTCGGAAACAACGAAGAAGCTAACACGCTTCTGAAAACAGTTACAACTGTCTCGGAAGCATGAAGGGAGTCCACTTCTTCCGAGACACTCACAACTGTCTCGGAATCATGAAGGGAATCCACCACTTTTGGGACACTCACAACTGTCTCGGAATCTAAGGAGAGAGAATGGCGGATTTCTTGAGATTTGTGCATGCCACGTGGATCCATAACTACCAAAGATCGTGTTTGAATATGGGAGAGACGTTACAAGTGGAAATTACGCTAATTACCGCCAAATAATAGTATTAAAACGTGTTAAAAACAGTTACAAAATGGTCAGAAGATGACAACATTTTCGAGACAGTTGTAATTGTCTCGGAAATGGGAAGCTAACCACGTTTCCGAGACAGTTGTAACTGTCTCGGAAATAGGAAGTTGATCATGCTTTCGAGATAGTTACAACTGTCTCGGAAATAGAAGTTCTCCGATATGACTTCTTTTCAACTTTCATCTTTAGTTACAGTTCATGGGGGTTATAAATACCCCCCTAGGACCATTACTGACGAGGATCCAAGTAGAGAGAGCAGATTGAGCAGAGAACTTGAGCATTTTGGAGCGTTCTTCTCAAGAGAGAGAGAGAGTCTTCATAAATTTCGAGTACAACCAGCACCTTTGGGATTCCTTAAGATCTAAGCTTCGACTTGATCTTGAGAAGAGTGTTTATCTTACATCGATAAGATATCCACTTACCTTTTTCTTACTTCTAAACGAAGCAAGAATCTCAAATAGCCTTTACGGTTCAATCAGAATCTGTGAATCGGTGATAAATGGGCTAACGCACCCCCGACACAGGCAAAGGTCCCGTGCAAGCAGCGATCTAAATAACGATACTGCGTGTGTTTCTAAGAAGCTTATAATTTGATTTTTATTGTAAAAAGTAGTTTTACAAAGCACGAAGCTCACTCTTTTATATTCATTATAATCGATAAACAGTTATAATGAATTCTATAATAAAACTTATTCCTGACGCAAACAAGCTGGCGACCACAGTGGGAGCCAACGGTCTCGCTGCCAAGACCGTTGTGTCACAGCCGATCATCAAGATACCGGTTGAATCCACGGTCGAGTACAAATTCGATCAAGCAAAGTTTGAGGAGTATCTGTCATCCTCATCCGTAAAGTCTTCCTCACCCCGCAAATACAGGAAGATCTCGTCTTCTAAGAAGGTCTTTAAGTTTTCAACTCCTACGGGTGAAAACTCTCGTCTTATTGTTACTGAGGATTCTACTCGCAACATCTCTGCTCATAATGACTCTTTTCCAGTTAAGGAGTCATTGAAACAAAGCTCACTGGCACTGACGAAGAGGGATCGTCAGAGACAACGTCAGCGCCGCGCTCGTCAAATGACGAAGGCCTTGGAACAAACCGACGGGTTTCACTACTACGCGGACCTAGAGTCAAGGAAACAATAAGTGGTCCAGTCGTTTTAACGACAAGCCACTCACATCTCTGCTAAGCTCACTACAGAGGAATAGACTCTCGTCAAAAGAGCTTGTTCAACCCTTAAAGAACGCATACAAAAACGTCGTGCAAACGCTGCTCGTGCCCGTGCTCTTTTATAACAAAGGCGAGAAGAGAAGAATGAAATGATGTCTAAAGAATCACCAAGAACCAGCCGAGTATGGATTTCCAAATCCGAATTGGTGAATAAGAGGGAGGTATCCTTCAACCGAGACACTAGTAAGTGTCTCGGCCAAAGCAGCCATGTCCGAGACACTTGTAAGTGTCTCGGACGAAGCAACCATATCAAAGACACTTGTAAGTGTCTCGGAAGAAGCAAACATGTCCGAGACACACACAAGTGTCTCGGCCAAAGGGAAGACCCCTGCGCCTCTCCTTTGACTCCATCGACATATGTTCCTTGTTCGTCTACTGCAACCACATCTGCTACATCACCATTAAAGCCATAGGTTAGTCCCGACTTGTCAAAATTCAAGATCACAATGGCAGATTGCCTCGGTCCTTTACCTGATGATCGAGGCAAAACTTCAGTCAAAGAACGCTTTGGTCCGGTGAATGAACCCCGAATAAATTCTTACGCTGGGGGTCGTGAGTATCTGCTTATTAGGACAAAGCAATCCCAGGAGGGGAAAACTCCGATTTCCTATCGTTTAGGGCCTGTAAAGACTCCATGCTCGCAAGAGGGTGGATCTAAATATATAACCTTGGATCACTCAGAGGCAACGACAAGTTATCCTGAGTATGTCAACAAGGTTCAAACACAAAAGCAGAAGATAGGTTGCTCTGGTCATCATACTGACGAGCTGTACTATCAAACTAAGGGTAGAAACAAATCACGGAAATAGATTGTTTGAGAAACAAGTCCTGCTTTGTGCTGCATGATGCCGAGCTCATTTCTATAAAAATTTGCATGTTTGGTCAGGATTTCATAGTACAACGTCTTCACATTCCACCTGTGTGACATTTAAAAATATTAGAAATATTCATATAGAAAAAAATTAAAGTGTAACTATAGTTATAACATCACATTTATATACTTGTATCCTAATAGAAGCTGCCCCCCTAGATTTCTCTCCACTCATCTCATAGGTCGGCCAACATATATGCATTCCCAAGACCAAATTTGTAGTAATGTAATGCAATCCTTGAACTCCTTATTCTCCATCAAGGATATATTCGCCAAATCTCTATAAAAGTATGCTAATACTGCACTACCCCATGAAAGAGTTGTTAGTTCTCTTGTTTTGATGATGATTTACAAACATCATTATTAGTGCTAATTGCTTGATTGAGTGATATTGTGTAGATTGTAATTTGTTAAGAAAGATAGTACCAACGATTAGAGGATTGGACAGAATATGAGCTACAATGATGATATCCAAGGAGGTGGAGGTAAATTGATGAAGACAAGCTTTCAAGAGCAACTTACACAAGAGAAGCTTCATCAACATTTGAGCAAATATCAAAGCCAAAAGAATTGTATTCATATGTGTGAAATAATTATATTTTATTTCTCTCTAGAGCTTAATGTAGACAAGTTATTAAGTAGATAACATTTAAAGCGATTGTGGTTCACACATACACACACTTATAACAACAAGTTTTTAACCATTTTTAAAAAATGAGTAAGTTCTACAATTGAGAAATGATTTTTTGAAAATTCCTTTCTAACATGTTTATATTTATGTTTATAAGCATTTCCCAAAGTTTCATATTTTTTAAATTTTATTTGCTATTTTTAAAGGCACTTCAAAACTCATTTTTAAACATGAACAGTGCATGTGCATGTTTATCAGTCGACTCATATCTATTATCAGTTGACTGATGAAATGCACTAGAAAGAGCAGAAGTTTCTGTTTAGCCGACTGATGACCCATCAGTCGACTGATGCAGGTTATTAGTCGACCGGTAAGTTCATCAGTTGATCGATAACAGATGAGCAACCTATAACAGTTAGCTCATCAATCAACTGATGAACAGTATCAGTCGACTGATGGTACTATTATCGGCTAGTTCTGGTTTAAGCTGAAAATCTGAGATTTGGTGATTTGTTTGGGATTTGGGTTATTGTTTGGGGCTTCTATATATACCCATTGACCCTCTTCACTTCAGGAATCAAGCAAACAAAGAAAAATCCCTATTTTTTGTTTCTAAGTGTTCTTGAGCTCAAACTTTCAAATCTTCATTCTCAATTGCTTCAAAGTTTTTGGTTTCTCAATTCCACATCTCACAAACCTCTAAGCTTGAGTGTTTATCTCTTGATCATTGTCATAGGATTGTTGTGAGAGATTTTCCTTTATTTCATCTTGTGATTGTGTGGTGACATTGATCTCGATGAGATCGTTGTGAGGGTTGTAAAATCATGTGGGGGAGATCATTGTGAAGAAGTTCCGGCATCCAAACAGGGTGTGATAGTATTGTTACCATCGAGAGAGGTGATCGGGGACGTAGGTCGGAGGACCGAACCTCGTGAATATATCGCTGTGTCATCTTAGATAACTATTCACCGCCCTTATTTATTGCCATAACATTTAATTTATGTCTTGTATTGCATTGAATTTTATGTATTACATATTTATTATTTTATTACCCTATTCACTCTCCTCTAGGGTAATTTCAAGAGTTCCACATACCTTCAAGTCCTTAACCAAGGGGGGGTAACCAACGACAATGTACATGATCTTCGCTGAAATAGCATAGTGCCTATCATGTGCAAGATATATGCACGGGCAACATATTGAGTCGTATCCACCATAGCATCAGCAGGTATTAGTCCCTGAAATCTCTGGCAAAGCCAAATGAGTTTCATCGTACCACTGTGAAGCTGAGGAATATCACATAGTGTCCTCATATATTCATCCTCCCAGTGGTGATCATCAGCACCTGTAACAGCTGGACTATCAGCCCTGGGTCCAAGTAAGATTGATACATACTCTAATGTAACCGCACACTCCCCTATGTGCATACAGAATGTATTGGTTTCTGACCACCATCTATCAATTAGTGCACAGATAAGGGGAAAGTTAAGCCTGACCCATCGAACATCTGAACATGCAAGGAAACCGACCTGCATGATAATTTGTTGTAATCGACCATTTGTGATCTCCCAACTAGAATGGCTCTGCGCATGATCGACAAAAGTGAGCTCTGAAACCTCCTGCATATTAAAGTCTGCTTACACTTATATTAATTCAGCAAAATAATAGAAAATAACAATTTATTTACCTATCCCGACCCCATCTTCTCAGAATGATGCTGTGATCACTGGTAATCGGTCCCGGTCCAGACCTCATAGTATCTGCTAGTAAAATTAATACAATTGTTATAATGCAATCAGTCATAAAGAAAACCAGTCATAAAGAAAACCAAAACTAAAATGCGCTAACGTAATGAATAGAGGATAATAAGATAGATGATGATAACAAAGGTATGATTAAAGAATGATAATAAGATGGTGGCGATGAAGATGAAAACAATGTTTCTAGACATAAATGAAACCAAACTTAAAATAAAACCAATTCGCAAAATACATATATAAGATTTAATTATATTTTTTCCACACTATCAAACCCCACAATCATACAACCTTGCACTCATATACACCGACTACACCTATCTCTCTAACTCTCCTTCTCATACTTGTCGGGCATCGAGATTTGTTGTGGTCCGGTTGATTGCACCAACTACACCTATTTTTCTTACTAATTCATTCCCGCTCTTTGTCCATAGTACCTTTGATTTTTACAGAACATGTTCGTGCTACTTGTCTCTTATACGGTAGAGGTAATAATCGTGACCCACCATGCGTCCAACTTTGTCTATCCTCTATCGTGTGAAAATGCTCCTTGTACGTACGTATTATTTAACTTACATATTAAATAAACTTTTACGTATTAATTATTTAACCCTAACATCATTTACCCCAATCTAACACTAACTTTTACATCATAACATCTCAATTTTCCAAGAACCCCATTTCAAATTACCAAAAAAATCTCACCATTTCAATTCCATAACTTTTAAATCATTTTCCATAATTTTTTCATTTTTCAGTTACGTACAAACTTTTAAAAAATCATAATAATAATTCAAAATATAAATCATTTACCCTAATCTAACACTAACACTAACTTTTACATCATAACACTCAATTTTCAAAAAAACCCGTTTCAAATTACCAAAAAAAAAAATTCACCATTTCAATTCCATAACTTTTAAATCATTTTCCATAATTTCAAATTTCTCAATTACATACAAACTTTCAAAAAATCATAATAATAGTCCAAATAATAAACTAAAACAAGCTATTGGGAATGAAATGGATGACAGTCTCAAATTAGGATAAAAATCATAAAATTTTGAAGAATTTACCAAAATTTATGTGGAAACCCTAGAAATTAAGTTTGGCGATCTCCAGAGAATTGTGGTAAGATCACGGCCAATGGGTAGTCACTGGCTGTGGGAGATGGTGGGCGGAATTGGTCGGAGATGGAGTCATGGTTGGAGTATTTGGATGGGTAAAAAACCCCTAGGGTTTGGGAGAGAGGGAGTAGTCAAGGAGAGAGAGAACGCGCTGATATATAGCGGTAAAGTACATGAGATTGGGAATCCCTTCAAAAATCCCCTAAATCCTCTGTTAAAAACACGGGACCACTAGTCCCATATTTTTAACAGAAACTTTGGCCTTTGAAAATCGAAATCTATAGGATTTAGGATCCCGTAGACTTTGGGAGTTATCCTAAACTGCACGGGATTGGTAATCCCATGTAGTTTAATCCAATCAGAAAACTATACAAGATTTCCAATCCCGTAGAGTTTTTCAGAGGATTTTTATGGGATTTTTTTTTAAAAAAAGAGACCATTCCATAAAAGTATTTATCATTCTCGCCATATTTCAAAAAATATTTACCAATTTTCACAAAATACATTGAGCCGCCACCTCATGCTTGATTATTTCACCTGACGGAAATGGTTTGAACCGCGTCATCCCCAAGTCCAGCCCAAGAAAATCCGTTTATCGCACTTACGATGGGCTTTAGGGTGGGCCTTTACAAGCCATTATATACTCCCCGATAAGATCTCTCGCTACGAGCCGGCGGGGTTCATCTTCACCATCATCATCAGAACAGTCCCACGTCTGGGCTTGGCCCCATGGCCCTCGTGCTCCCTTCTTCCTCCCTGCGCTTCCTCAGACCCTTCTCCTCCTCCTCCTCTGCTCAAATCTCACTTCCTCTTCCCCTCAACACTCGCAGGTTAATCTCAATTTCATATTGCAGTTCTTTTTCTTTCCCTTTTCTGTGATGTTTATTTTTTTTATCAACTTGAGCGCAGGAACGATCAAGAAAACCTTAAAAAAAAACCGATTTTGGGAGCATTGTATGCCTAATTCTTGATAAACTCGCTTCTCCTTCACCAATTGAATTGTGATATCCTCCATTTATTTTGATTTATGGATCATGTCTCAGTAGAAACAACAAATTATGTGGCAATATGGTTTCTTGCTCTTTGGGCATTTGAAACGGCATGAATGCGTGAGAAAAAAAAAGAAATTTTCTAAATAAACTCATTCATATTTTTTTTTCCTAAAAATAGACCCTCTTGAGTTTTATTTACAAAAAATAGATTCATTTTATCTTAATCCGGTTTCTAAATAATCGAGGTTCGCAACCCCGACTATTTAGGAGGTTGTAAACCTCCAATTATAACCCTAAACCCTAACATTCTATACACTAAATAGTCGGGGTTGGCAGCCCCGACTATTTAGAAACTGGATTAAGACAAAATGTGTCGATTTTTTGTAAAAAAACTCAATGGGGTCTATTTTTAGAAAAAAAAATTATGAATAAGTTTGTTTAGAAAATTTCTTCACGAGAAAAATTATGGGGGCGGACGACATGTATCTATTTATCCAAACATCAGAAATATAATATTGTTATACCAATATTGTTGACAAATAGGCTAAATCACCAACCTAATGGCTAATATTCAAACGGGATGCAAATATTTTAAGTTATAGGGCGCAAAATTTGTAAATTCTAAGGGTTTAAAATGTAATTTTGAATGTTGTTAGGGGTGCAGTTGCCCCCCTAACTCTATATAGTGGATCTGACACTGCTTTTGACTAAAATTATGGGTGAAAGGCAAATGTAGAGATCAGGTTTCGGGATTCACTAGTATTGATGTTTTCCTACCTGATTATGTCACATGGTTCAATCACTGTTTTAAATATCGGCCGATAATCGATATTATCGGCCGAGTTATCGGATTTGGGAGCTCTCCGATAGGATAACTTGGATTTTTAATCGGTTATCGTTTTTGGCCAGTTATCGGGGAGTTATCGGCGTTATCGGTACTTATCGGCCGATAAGGTTTTTTTATCGGGATTATCGGCCGATAAGTAAGACTATGCAATCGAATGGTTTCATTGTGCGGTCAAAATGTAAGTTTTGCTTTCTACAATTGGTTAGTGATTTTAAACATGATGATTTACATTTTGGTATGTTTATATTTCATTAAGCATGGTTAGATTACATTTTTTAGTTATTATATTATATATATACACCATCTAGTATATCACTCCGATAAATACTACTTATCCCCGATATATCCCCGATTTCCGCTATCCGATAAGAATTTTGGCCGTCCGATAAATTCCCGATAACCGATATTTAAAACCTTGGGTTCAATACACACACACACATGAAAGCTAGATCATCATGCTAGAACAATGGAATGAGACATGCGTCAACCATTCATAAATTTATCTTTCTTGAAAGCAACTAGTTTTCTATGTCTTCCTAGCTTTCATACTAACAGTATAGTGCATGTGCTTTGCACGAGAGCATACTTATTTTGTTTTATGTTTTTTATTTTTTTTGTTGGTTGCAAAATAATAAAAAAGACTCACATAGTAATATAAATTATGAACAGACAACTTTGTTTAAGTGAATAAATTATACGATAAAACCATGTTTAAAGAACTGTATGATTAATTATTATAGTTTGGATAATTATTATTTATTCATAATATATTAAAATAATTATCCTATATTAAATAAATTATGTATAAAGAACTGTATGATTAATTATTATAGTTTGGATAATTATTATAATTTATTCATAATTTATTAAAATAATTATCATATAATAAATAATTTCTTCTCTTTTAAATATAATGATTTTATACATAGCATACTTATAACACTATTAGTAACTACATTTTAATCTAATAATTATTAATTAGTTTATTATACTATTAGTAAATAATTTACTAAATTGTTTAATTATTAAATTATAGTATAATTTTTTAATTTAAAAAACACTATTAAGGTCATTATACTATTAATATTATTACAATTACAATAAATATAAATTATTTTTCATACTATCATCATACTTTTAAAAGGCTAGTAAGATGGAAGGTAACAGGTAGTCCTCCATAAGAGGTGAAATCCTAAGGCACAAAGCATAAGCCTAATGTATTTTTCTTATTTTTAATTTTTCTAGAAATTTTAATATTATGTAAAAATAAATTAGGGATAAATTTTAAATTTTCTATGAAATAACATACTTAAATAATAAATTAATAGTGTGAGCAAAGGTTTCAAAAAAGTGAGGAAATGTATAATTAATAAGAGGTGATATATAATTAGTGAATGATTAATTACATAATGGCATATTTGAGAATTATCAAACCTAAAACGGTAAAATTGGAAATCAAAAGTATTGACAAGGCAATCCTCTTTTATATGTAGTATAGATTATCCATGCCTAACTCGTTTATTATATATATTGACTATTGAGATAAGTATTTGTTTCCAATATATATCCATTATTATTATTTAGTTACTGATTTGAAATGTTCTTGGTTTATGTTTATTTTGAATAAGTATTTGTCTTAATATACGTTCAACAATATTGTAACATAAAGTCCTGCGCATCACACAAGCAATACCTAGTGATTTTATAAAGTTGATAAGATGCTAATCTTTTGGTATAGAGAAGCCATTGCCTATTGTTTTCAAGTAATACAAAATTTTCGACGAGTAAACTGAAATCGGTTAGAACTTAGAGCTGTCTTCATTATGTTATGAACTCCTCATTTACTAATCTTAGTGTGGATATAATATAATTATTCTAATTGTTTGTATCATGTCCAGGGTATCAGGGTCAGTTTGATGGCCTTTGTCGATTTAGGTTTCAAACTTTTTTTTTCCACTTTCCCAGCTTGCATTCAAAACTACTTTACACTGATAGTTTAAAGCAGATAATAGTTTCTGTCATTTATCTATATACCATGATTTATTCCTATTGCAGGGATAAGCATTGGAGATATAGTTCTACAAACATCCAATATCATGTAATAAATTGTAGATCGGCGAGGGTCAAGGAATCTCCTCCAACTAATTCTGAAGCTTTGATAAAGGAGCCACACAAATATTTTGATCAGGTTATCATCACTGTTCGTTCTGGAGATGGAGGCCATGGTGCAGTCCTCAGCATGCACAATGAGATAACAACATCTAAATCTCAGGGAAGACATGAGAAGAAATCAAAGAGAAAAGGCTCTTATAAAAGGGATTCAGATGGTTCGCTAATCCTACCAATGGGTGGACATGGTGGCGATATAGTCATATATGCTGATGAAAGCAAAGAATCTCTCTTGGAATTTCACAAAAAGCGCCGCTACTGTGCAAAGAGAGGGGGAAATGTCGATGCAATGGGTGCTTTGACATCGCATTTGCATGATGGATTTGCTGCACAAACATTACGAATACCGGTGCCTGTAGGTTTGTAAATTACCATCTGGATTAACTTTCTTTGCAGGTCTATCTTTAGTAAAACGAGGAGCCTATTTGATACGGTCATATCCTTAGTGCTATAATATAATCTTCTGGAATCACAAAAAAAGTAACAGTAAGTTTCTTTTTGAACGTAAATTGATCGATATGGAGAAGATTGTCATGGGAAGGGTTGTAGTTTTGTACTCCAACAATACCTTTGCTATTTTATATCTCGTGTTAGGACCTGATGCATTGTAATACATCATGTGAAAGATAATATTTCTATATTGATAGCATGAGGCTAAGAAAAAAATAATGATGTTTTGCATTATATGATACGAGTCCATTCATTTTTCTTGTCCAGTTATTTTGCTGTGAGACATATTTCATATATTTTCTAATATCATTCTCATCTATATTACCTGCGTACTTCTAACATGAAGCTGATCCCGTACCCGACATGTACCCATACCCAAACCCAAAATTCTTGGACGCTTCTTGCATATATGCATACATTTATTCGAGCATGCAATCAATTATACAATACACGTTTTAATTTAAAACACTTATCATACATTTTCTGGACATAAGTCATATCCACACGTCATATCCACTTCTTGAAACACTCAATCATACAATACATTTATTTGAACATGTACTCAATTATACAATACATGTTTTAATTTAAAACACTTATCACACATCATATCCACTTCTTGAAACTCTTTAGACATAGGTTAGGTTCTTAATTATGATTTTGAAGGATTGTTTGAGCGTCTTGTTCAAAAACTAGTGATTTTCCTATTTATAATCCACATAATAAAAGAAACATAAAAATGTTGTAGGAATTTTAATTATCGTCCTTGTTCTCATATAAAATTTTAATTCCAATGTGTAATATATGTGTATATAAATATTTATATAGCCATGTCCTCGTGCCCTACATGTTACAAGCTTATTGTGTCCCCTACCCGTAGGTGTACCCGTACGCGTACCCATGCAACATAGATTCTCATGGAGACTTGATTGAGTTTACTTAGCTCCACTCATATTTTCTTTCGGTTTCTTCTTTTTATTCTCTATTTCTCCTGTTTGTTATTTTCTTGAGTGTAAGAACTTAGATGTTTGCCACATATGCATAAAAATTCCTTAACTAGCCAGCTATGCCTCAACATCTATTTCTGTCAGTAATTTATTCATGATAGGCTTTTAGGTTAGCACAAGCTGCAGCAGCTTTGTTTTGTCTCACAGATTATTTCATCTCGTGGTTGCCTAGCAGCTTTCTTACATGGGTATTTCTATTTTGAAGCCGTAGCCATACCCATAGCCATACCCAAACTTCTTGGACACTTCTTGAATATATGCATGTGTTTGTTCAATCTTATACTCAATTATATACTGCATGTTTAATTTAAGATACTCTTCATACACTTCTGGGATGTATATTCTACACTTCACATCTATTTCTGATATATTGATCTTATGTAAATGAAAAAATAATATTGATCTTATGTAAATTGTTAATTTTAATACATATAAATATACATAACATATTTATAGCCATGTCCCTGTAGCCTACTTTTTACAAATTTGCCGTATCCTGTTACGAGCACCGTACCTGTACCCATGCCTAGCAGTATTCCTGATTGTGGTCGGCTGGTCAACAATTTCTGCTTGTCAGCTGGACATTTTAGCTAACTTCTCCTTTTAACATGAAAAATTTAATGTGTGCTCTGGAGTACATGAAGTGATCCCATAAAAGCAGATATTTGACCAGGTTTGGGTTTTATTTTTAGGCCCAAGCCACATGAAAAGAAAAAGATCTGCATTGCCCAAACAAATCCCAATCCTTACAGATGTAAAGGTATGTTTGGTTGTAGAAGAAGAGATAGGAAAACTTTAATTTTTTAGAAAGCGGAAACTGATTTTCTACTTATGTTAAAGGTGATGCAATTTTTTTTGTCCAATGCGAGTTATATCAGTTAAAGGCTAAAAACTTCCTGTGTGTGACCGCATATTGCTCTCCTTATTTCACAAACAGACAAACCGGAATTGGACTTGCCTTGTACTTGGAAATAGTGTACATCTTAGAATGAGCATTGCCCAAACAAATCCCAATCCTTACAGATGTAAAGGTATGTTTGGTTGTAGAAGAAGAGATAGGAAAACTTTAATTTTTTAGAAAGCGGAAACTGATTTTCTACTTATGTTAAAGGTGATGCAATTTTTTCTGTCCAATGCGAGTTATATCAGTTAAAGGCTAAAAACTTCCTGTGTGACCGCATATTGCTCTCCTTATTTCACAAACAGACAAACCGGAATTGGACTTGCCTTGTACTTGGAAATAGTGTACATCTTAGAATGATTCAGCATAAAGTTTGTAGTTATCACCATGTTTAGCATCATAATTCAATTTATAACATTTACCAACAACATGAAGAAAGTTGTTATTTTTTTTCTAAAATCGCAAGTTATGCAACTCAAATGGGATGGAACCTTGGATCTTTCCTTATTTTCCGATTTTCATTTACTGACAGGTACAGTTGTGAAGCGCAAGAAGGGAACGTTCCTAGCGGATTTGGCATGTCCAGGGGATGAGATTCTTGTTGCCAGGGGTGGACAAGGTGGGGTGAGTATTGTCTCGTTCTATTGGAATTATTAAGTGTTAACTTCCATTCGCTCCCCATAAGGGGAGAGAAATGTCTAGAGATGTCCTGTTCCTGCCTGAAACCTGTGACCATCAGAAGTGAATGCTCTACCCACAGATCGACCTCTTCTAAGTACCTAATTACGCTGATTTTATTGAAAGGAAGTGAATGCTCTACCCACAGATCGACCTCTTCTAAGTACCTAATTACACTGATTTTAGTGAAAGGAAGTGAATGCTCTACCCACAGATTGACCTCTTCTAAGTACCTAATTAGGCTGATTTTAGGAAAGGAACTATGTTGATGCTTATTACATGTTTTTAAGTACTATTCTTGATGGTTGTTTTACTGTTACCAATTTGGTTCTTCATTTAAAGGGGAATATAATAGTTGTAAATGAAAACCCTAATTCATTATGAGATCTCTTGGGCTTTATATAGGCCCTTACACAACTTACAAATAAGTCCTAATAAATACTAATATGTCAACACTCCTCCTCAAGATGGGCGAAAGATATCTACTAAGCCCATCTTGTCACATCCTCTAATCATATCTACTGAGCTAAGTCCTTTAGTCAGACAATCTGCTGCCTGGTCCTTAGTCGAAACATGACTTAGCTCCAGTAGTCCACTATCCAACTTCTCTTTGATGAAGAACCTATCGATCTCGATGTGTTTGGTTCTATCATGCTGCACTGGGTTGTTGGCAATACTGATGGCTGACTTGTTGTCACACCACAACTTCATCTTAGCTCCTTGATCCAGCTTCAGCTCCACCAGCATACTCTTCAACCATAGCAACTCAGCAACTCCTAAGGCCATAGCTCTATACTCTGCCTCAGCTGTCGATCTCGCCACCACCGACTGCTTCTTGCTCTTCCACGAGACTAAGTTGCCTCCTATAAAGATGCAGTATCCTGAGGTGGACCTCCTGTCATCAGCACAGCTAGCCCAATCAGAGTCACAATAGCCCTCAATGCTCATGCGTTCATTCTTCCTGAAGATTAGCCCTTTTCCGGGGACATTCTTCAAATACCTTAGAATCTGGTACACTGCGTCCATATGGGGGGGGCTAGGGTTAGGTTTTTTTTTGTGGAGGCTCTGATACCAAGTTGTAAATGAAAACCCTAATTCATTATGAGATCTCTTGGGCTTTATATAGGCCCTTACACAACTTACAAATAAGTCCTAATAAATACTAATATGTCAACAATAATTATTTGATTTAACTCTAATTTCATATGCATGTTGTATAACTGAAAAGAAAATAGCTCTTGGTTCCTATTACACAGACAGACACTAAGGAAACATTATCTGCCATTATTCTGTTGAGGAACATGATTGGCACAGAAAAAGAAAACAAGCTCTTGACATTACTTTTAAGGCACAGAAATGTCTTGGCAGACGTGCAGTTTTCTGCTCATATTATTTGACATCTTAATCTGAAGCAAAGAACATGTTTGTTCTAATTGCATAAGAAGTCAAATTGTGATGTGACAAGTTTTTTCCACATGCTGAGTAACCTGCAAACTGGAAGACTACAAGTACAAGCCCTCTACATAATTAAAAACAATTCTTTATTCACGGTGCTGTGACAAGAAGTTGAATCAGTGCAGAATACTATAGTTGTTCTCAACCATTTTTTTCATTTTTTGAAGACTTCACTCGCATTAGATAGTTTAACTACTTTGGGACGACTAGAATTAGTTATGGTTTTGCCAAGATGTTCCCGATATATTTCTCCAAAAAAATAATAATATTCCTTTTAGGTGTATATTTGTATGCATATTGTTGGCCTTCATCATCTTAACTTTTTGGTGTATTTAACCATATTATATTCTCTTCATATGTTTTACCTTCTGAAGAAAAGCATCTTTGACTTCGAGGTCTTCCATCAGGCTTAAAGGCATCGAGGGAAGCTGTTATTCTTATTGACATACCACATGGGCCCAAAACCAAGCTTCTGGGTATCTCATCGTTTTGGAATCTTTAATTTTAATAATTCTATTCTTTTCCATCTTGTAGAAAGTAGATGGAATGTAGATGATGAAAGTGACATTATGTCGAATGATATTTCTCTTCTTGTCTCAATACATTCCCATGTCCTTTATTTTATAGGTCAAGTCAAACGGGTAGTAACATCCCCTTCAATGTGGATGCTACCCATAACTCGTGGTGACGTGTTTCCATTAGTAGTCAATCTACTACCTGACTGGCATCTTACGTTCGTTTGTAATTTTCTTTGACAAGTTAGTGCTAAAATTCTAATTGTTCTTTTAGCTTCCTTCTTTTTTCATTTGCTTTTCCCTTCTTTCTTTTTCTCTTCCGAGCCCCTCCTTTACTTTCTCTTTCTACTTTCTATCCCCCTTCTACTTTTGTTTTTTATATGCTTTTTCAATCTTCCGGCCCAAGTATTTTTGTCCTTCTACTTTTGTTTTTTTCTATGCTTTTCAATCTTCCGGCCCAAGTCTTTCTATTCATTTGTGTAATGGAAGGATTTATATGTGTGGACACTTTCTTGTCTGATACACAGTGGTGGATCCAGGATATCTGGAGAGTGGTGTCACTACATTACTTCAACGACAAGTATTCATATTTTGGAAAAAGTACATAATCACATCATTAGTTCTACTATTAAATACATATTTCTCAATACATATCAGAAAGCATTTATTGAGTCAATCACCACTCTTTTCATTCCGCGACTTACTTTTAATCAAGTATAAGTCAACGTCTTCTTCAGAATCAAATACATCAAAGGATTGATCTTGTATGTTTTTTTAGTCTCCACCAACTTGTTTAAAATAACACTCCTACTCATTCTAAAAATGCAATTTTAAAAGGTACAATTAAACCTAAAGAAGAAAAAAAATATTGTAAGAAAGATATAGTGTTTTTTTTTTAAACAAACAAAACAAAATAGTGTTTTGCTACCAGAGAGAATGATCGATGAGGAAAATAGAAGAAATAAAATAAAAAAAAAAGAAAAAAAGAAATGCCAGTAGAACACATAATAATAAGTAAACATGGAAAATAGAATAAATAGTAGGTCAAGCTTTAGTCATCAAGTTATTAGTGGGCTGTTTTTTTTCAAGGTTTGATAGGTTTTCTAACTTTTAGTGGGGATAGGGAACTGGTCCTTCTCAAGCAAATTGGGGGTTAAGGTACTTTGCATAGAGTGCATCCGCCACTGCTGATATATGTGAACATTTATGGTAACATAAGATGGTATGACCCTTAAGTACTAGATCCTTGCAAATTTAAAATCATTTAATCCTGTAAAATCCATGAGTTTGCATGTGTGGATGGTGTGACTCTTTGATCTGTAGGATTTGCACACATTAAGGATGATTTCCTTTCTAAAATGACCCATGTTTGAGGATTTCTATTATGTTCCATGTATGAGTTGTAGGGATGTGAAAATCTATATCCCCCTTTTGTTCCTATAAGCATGGACCACCTACTGAGCCATCATTCCTTCACTTGTTCTGATTAAATCGATACCATAAGAGAACTTGTATTTTTGCGATCGAAAAGAAGGATAAAGGAAATTTGCAATGGTAATAATCTCTAGTGAAGTTGCTGTTGTTTACCTTTGATGTTTGGCAAATAACACATGAGAAGAAGAAAACAATCACTTTGCTTCGAGAGAGGAGATGAGAAAAATCTTTAAGTTTGCCATCTTTAAAGGCTGTTCTTGATGTTTTTGATGCTTTTGGACCTATATCAGTAATCTTCTTGTTTCTTGTAACTACTTTAGTTTTGACCACTATAGTTAAAGCTAATGTATCGATTTTTTACCTGTTGATTATAGCATCAGTAGATACTTCGGTTTATAGATAAAGGTGCATGTTAAAGTTGACTTCATTCAAAAGGGGAAATAATCTTGGTAAATTTTTTGTGTGTGTCATAAGTACTTTATTTATTTTAATTTTTAGTAATAACGTAGAAAATATTAAATCTCCCTCTTCCATGCAGGGTATGTACCTTGAGCCCTCATATTCATTTTCTTTAGTTTACATTGATTGAAAAAGATGTAAAATTATTGCATAATTAATAGGACCATCTTCTCAGTTTTTTTTCTATATGAAAACTTGGGATGTTTGTTGGTCATTTCATAATAACTTCAGATATTGGGCAATGCATTTAGCTCGTGTGATATCAAAAGGATGTTTTATTAGGTCGTCTTTCTTAGCCTTCATATCTTTCTACACGATGTCTCTGTCTAGTCTTTTCATTATGGTTCCCAAATTTTGGCTATCTATTCTACATTGACAGAGATGTATTTAAAATGCTATTTTTGCCTTTGTTCTTTTGTTCATGGGCTTCTTATGATTTCTTCTTCTTCTTCTTCTGTGCAGATTAGTCTGTTAGAGATGCCTGAACACAAAAGAAAAAGATTGAACGCGTTATCTAGTAATGTAATGAGAGATGACAGTGACAAGGTAACCTACTCATGCAAGGTTTCGTTTCGGTTTGTTGAAATCTGAAGATGAGGCAATAACAATATGAATTTAATGTAGGAATTTGCCCCTAAAAATACAGCGTAAAAACATAAAATGATTGTCTGCCTAGTACTACTCTTTGATGCTCTACTTGTTAAGCATTTAGAGAGAGCTAATGGAAAGACCTTCTATCATTTAGACTGCTGGTTAATTTTGTAAAGTGATTTGCAACTCAAATGGATATTTGATAGAAGACTGTGTTAAAAAAAAGATTGTATTAATGTATGAAAATTCCAATAAACATTGCAAGCTATGTTGCATGTGTGCGGGTATGGGTACGAGACACGGAAAATTTGTAAACAGTAGGGTTTGTAACATGTATATATAAATATTTATATACACATATTATATATTGAAATTTATAATTTATATGAGAACAAGGATGATAATTAACTTTCCTATAACATTTTATGTTTCTTTTATTATGTGGATAATAAATTAGAAAATCACTAGTTTTTGAACTAGATATCCAAACGATCCTTCAAGATCATAATTCGGAACCTAGCCTATGTCCAACAACTGTCAAGAAGTGGATGTGAAGTGTAGGATATATGTTCAAAAAAATGCATGACAACTGCTTTGAATTAAAACATGTATTATATAATTGAGTACATGCCCGAATAAATGTATGCATATATGCAAGGAGTGTCCAAGGAGTTTGGGTATAGGTACATGTCCTGCACGGGTACAACTTCAAATTAGAGGTGCACAAGTAACATAGATAATAGATTGCAGGTATTACTATAGATATTAGAAAAAAAACAGTAAACAAAAGGAAGATCACCTCACTATTGAGTGCATTGAATTTTGAATTAGTATTTATGATGAATTATACTTGGGGATGAAAATATTATTTTTTTTCCTGATTATAGAGTGTCTGCCTTTGTTTATTCAAGACTTCAAGTTTACTGTTAGATCTAGCCATTGTTCAAATATTCAATGTGCAGCCGCATATGTGGCCACTTATGTGTATGCGGTAGTAAACCAAAATCACTTGCCCACATTAGAAAATTATGCAAAACAAAAGTAGCAACAACATAAAATATTTATATTGCAGTGCTATATATGCAGCGTAAAAAAAGGCAGTGGTTATTAGATTTGAATTTCGTGCGACATTCAACTAGCTTACCATAATAAACGTTATATATACATGGACACATACGTGCATGCGCGCACACCAATTTCTCTCCTCTTATTACTTTCTTCTTCTCCCTCCTCTTTCCTTGATGCTTGACCTTTTTAACTTTAAGTATGTCCCTTGCTTTTCTCTTATTCTATTTTATTCAACTACTTGTATTATGTACAACCCCCCCCTCAAAAAAAAACACTCTCCTCTCTTATTCTACTTTCTTCTTTAAGTGTGTTCCTTGCGTTTTGAGTCTTTTTGTTTTGTTTGTGTATATTGGATATAATGTTTATATGTATCAAGTAACATGGACACACATGCGCAAACTCACATGTACTCTTAATGTTGAATTTAGTTAAAGCAGAGAGCTTTTAACCTTGGCATGTATTACACAGTGCACTATCTTCTCTTTTTTTCCTCACTACAATCTTCCCTTTCTTTTACATCTTGGTTCTTTTTGCAGGTTTTAGTTCTTGGTCAGCCTGGTGAGGAGGTTAGCTTAGAATTAATATTACGAGTAGTTGCTGATATCGGTCTTGTGGTGAGTTCATGTTGTCTTTGAACATTTACTGCTTATCTTGATCATTATGCAAATGGTGAGTTTTCAGATGCTTACTGTTACGAATGGATTTTAGTGATAATTGTGACTATCACTTGTTTGGTTTAGTACAGTAAGGAAATTTTCCATACAAGATATTGTCATACACTAGGTGGAGAATGATCATAAGTTTCCTACTTTTTTTACCTTCATGTGATGGAATTTAACAAGAAGAGGATCAAGAAACTTCAAATTTCAAAGATATTCAAGCTATTTGAAATTCAATGTCTTTTTGCAGCACAGAAACAAATATCAACAATGCTTAACTAGCTAGAGGGTTCGTAAACTTTCGTCTTTTGACATTTTAGTTTGTAACGTAAATGTTGGAAGAAAAAATTAATTTTGCTAATTAGCTTAAAAGACATGCCAAGTTATAAGGGTAAAAGGTAGCCAAGACAAAACAGTCTTGCATCATCAAATATCGAATAAGAGGAAACAAATAAGTCAAAGCCTAAGTGAAGTATGACATTAGTACAAGAAGCACGAACATTGATGTAGATATGGTTACATGGGTATACTATGCAATATGATCATTAAAAAAATTATGAATTCCTAGAGCAGGGTAAGTGGGATATGACGCAATCACAAAACAGTCTTCCTGTCGCAGAAGGATTTGAGATGTATATGGATATCCAAAGCACGAACATTGATGTAGATATGGTTACATGGGTATACTATGCAATATGATCATTAAAAAAATTATGAATTCCTAGAGCAGGGTAAGTGGGATATGACGCAATCACAAAACAGTCTTCCTGTCGCAGAAGGATTTGAGATGTATATGGATATCCAAAGCAAGGCAAATTTAGACTTTCACTAATTTTTTTGCTGATGTGGTAGTCACATGGCAGAGTCAACAAGATTTAACAGAAATCTGTAAAATGATCTAGACTGATGACGAAGGTAATGTTAGGGACCCTTGCTGATGATTTCTAAATATCAAGGACCCATATGATACTTGACTAATACATCAGGGACCTCCATCGACATTTTGCCAATCTATTTTACGACATTAAAAGTTTGATGCTTGGTTTGTTTTTTCATCAAATATGATGAAAGATAGTGCATATTTTCATGGAATATCCTACACTGAACTTGTTCACAAGCCCAGAGGTATAGCAGGCTGCTGCTCATTTGAGTGGAAATTGATGTATTTCCTTGTCTGCTTTAGAGTTTTCCTCTAGGATAATATTGGTATTGCGGTATCGGTGGATCAGGATTAAATGATTTAACCTTTTGTTTTTCTCCTTCCTTTTCATGCCCCTAATCCAAGTGAATGCCCTTCCCTTTCTGAGGATTTTTCATATATTAATTGGTCATGCTAATTTTTTTGGGTTCCTGATCGCCAGTTTATGTGAGTGCACTCAATTTTAGATCCGTTTGTGCATATATTTGCCTGTAAAATCCTTAGTGCTTCCAGTCCTTTTTGATCTCATGGATGGGAAGTATGGTATTTCAGTATGTCAAATCAAATATAGTAAATAAGGTGAATTATTCAGATGCCACATGACCACATAATATTCTTCCATAAATACAAGCTAATTCTAATATAAATTTCTAGAAGTGGTTGCATCCTATTGATTAACTATGGTGATTGATGCAGAAGTAAGTTTCTGAACTGCTGTTCAACATTATTATTGAAATTGTTGGGAAATTTTAGGCATCAATGTTCCTTGCTTCAATATGTTCTTCTTTGTTCCTTCTCCAGGGACTCCCAAATGCCGGAAAATCAACTCTTTTGGGAGCACTAACTCTGGCAAAACCAGACATTGCCGACTACCCTTTTACAACCTTGATGCCAAACCTTGGACGTCTTGATGGTGATCCTACTTTAGGGGCACTGAAGTTTTCCTCTCAAGCAACATTAGCAGATTTGCCTGGTTTAATTGAAGGTGCTCATTTAGGAAAGGTATTGGTAATCATGAATCATTTTATACTAGTCTCTTTAGGCGTCCGGAATGTTTGATTTACATAATAAAAATCTTTGTATTATAGGGTCTTGGTCGTAATTTCTTGAGACATTTAAGGAGAACTCAGCTGTTAGTTCATGTTGTCGATGCTGCTGCAGAGGACCCTTTAAATGATTATAAGACTGTCAAGGAGGTGATCTTTTTTCTCTCTTTGTAGAGTCTTTTTTTTTCCTCTTTTGTTTTTTCTTCTTTCCTCACAATAATTTCAGTATCTTACTGGGCTTGATGAGTTATGTCTTATGCTTGAGAATCTATGATGAAAAAATCATCACATTATAACTACAATGTTTATGGTGTATATCAGTTAAGAGCCATACGGTATATTGCTTCTTCGACTTGGCTTTAGTGATATTGGTCGAATGGGATATTCATAAGGTTTAAATATCAGATACATGGAAATATTGGACGACCAAAATTCATATTGAATTACGTATGTCGAGGAAATATAGGGGATATGTAATAAGTATCAGAGTGCCATATCAGATGATGTGCATAAATAGCATATGTCCTAAAATCTAATCTAAAACATACATCACCCAAAATTTGAAGCAATATTGAAGTTTGCTAAAAATTGAAGTTTGCTAAAAAACTTCATAGGGCTGAAAATTTTGCTTTAAAATATTGAAGAAATTTTGTAGAATTATATTATTTAGTACCGAGCCATATAAAAAGGACATATTGGTCAACATATTGACTGATAGATCGAACCACATTGGTCAACATATTGACTGATATATAGGTCATATTGGTCAACATATTGACTGATGTGTCACCTAAAAATTGTCAAATAGCAATAGACGGTAGAGGATATTGAGACCATATTATTTTGCAGCAAACCTTGTGGCAGGATATATTAGCTATATCGGGGATATTTAAAACAATGGATACTCAAAATTGAGCAAAGTTCCTATTAGGCTATTACACCTTAGGATTTGCGTGTAATTGTAGCCATCCTGTCGCATCTACTTATTTGTCATAACCACATAATTTTAACAAATATAAAGCTTTTTTAAAATAGTTATAAATAGTGATTAATGGTTGTTTTAGTGACATAGAAATTTTAAAAATACAAGTTACCTAAACACTGTAGTATGCCTCCAACTAGTAATTGGACATGCATTTAAACATTCAATATTATAAGGAACAAAACATACCCTGAGTACTCCATTAAAATTGCTATATTGGACTCGTTGTTCTACTACTGTACGACACCAGTAGCTCTTCACTGAATGTTTTTATTTCCTACTTAAAAATTTAGAAAGAAAAACTATCTTTTAAAAATTAGAAAGAAAAACCATCTTCTACATTTCAGCATATAAGTTTAAAACTATCTGTGTAGCTGATTAAAAGCATAAACAAAGGAAGTCACACGTTGTGGAAAACAGATAGCATGGCGTAGTGGTGAGCACTGCTAAGGCTATTTGGGGTTACAACGGTAAAAAATACAAAGTCAAAAAACACTCCAGTTTAAATATGTATAAATATTCAAAAAAAAAGAGGAAAAAATTAAAAAAAGTCTAGAAATTCTACGAATGCATATTTGATGATTTATAGAGATCTTAAGTATGAAATAAACGTGTAACATTTTGAATAAGAAAAATTTAAGAAAAATCTTAAAATTCAATGAATGCATGTTTAATATTTACAGAGATCCTAAACATGAAATAGATGTGTAACAATCACATAATATTAACAAAGCACAGTGGTGAAGGCCGCGATAGGAGAGTTGAGGTGGTGGTAGAGCTCAGAGATGCTGAGGTGAGGAAGAGGTGCTTGGAGATGCTTAGGAAGCAGCGGTAGAGGAGCTTTGAGCTGAGGTGGTGGTGGAGGTGGCGGTAGAGATGCTTTGAGATGAGGAGGTGGTGGAGGCGGCAGTAGAGAGGCTTGGAGATGAGAGGCAGCGATGAGAGGCTCGGAGATGAGTGGTGGCGTCAGAATTGGTAGAAGAAGTGAAAGAGGCGGTGAATGGTGATCTAGGTTTTTTTTCTCTTGGTGTTTCAGTTCAAGTCGGAGAGGGGAGAGTGAAACAAAGCAGTGAAATAAAGGTCGGGTTTGGGTCAGGTTGGGGTAAAAAAAATGAACCCAAGTAGAAGTTAAAAAGTGCTTTAAAGCGCTAATTGCTGCTAAATCATGCTATTTGCTGCTATTGCAAGCAAATAGCACAAACTCCACTAAACTCAGTCGCTATTGCCAATAATATAGCAGGATAGTGCCGCCACCGCTATCCAAACTGCTATAGCGGCGCTAGCTACCGCTATTTTTCAACAGTGAACATAAGCTCTCATCTTTATATTTAATAAGGCAGGATATATAGTGATTACTTAGAGAAAGAGAAGATAATTCCATCACATCAGAGTCCTATAATACCCAACTTCTCCCATATCATAGTTCTCCATCAAACACCAACCAGAAGGGAATTTCTTAAAGATAGCATCTCCTTATAGCATCTCCTTTATTCTTCTTAACTCTTGTTTCTAATAAAACTAATATAAACAAATGATATTGGAAAATATTTTTTTTGACTAGATGATGTCTTAGAGGTTTATTAAAGCCTAACATTCTAAAATGCAAATTGCATTAATTAGAGGACGAAGGACTCCCTCCCCTATCAATGGAAGCAGGGTTAACAACTGTACCTCCTTTCACTTGTTGTTCTGTTGGCATAGTAGATTTTTGAGAAATCTCATTATCGCTGTTTTAAAAAACCTCCGCCTAGTCCGCTTAGACGTACGCCTAGGCCTAGGCGGTATCTAGGCCGCCTAACTAGCGCCTAGCGCCTAGGCGGTATTTAGGCTGCCCACCTAGATTTTACGAGCGTTTAGGGGAGCATTGTTTGCTTACGTGGATTGCACTCTGTAGGCATTGATTGTGATTTTATGTGTCGTAGCCTACACGTCCTCCAAACTCCATTAACCTCCAAATATGAACACCTTCACTACCTCCTCCGACCTTCAGCAAAACCTCATCGACCATCACTTAAATGAAGAAAGAAAAAAAACACCCAGAAACCGCTTAGGTGTCCGCCTAGGCGACTAAGCGCTGGGCGCCAAGTCCGACGCCTAGAAACGCCCAACGTGTAATGTAACATTGCTCATTATTCATAGCTTCTGTTTAGACCTTTGTCTTTCTGTTTCCTTGTGTTGTTGTTCATTGTCCTGACTTCCCACCGTGATAGCCCCCAGTAGAGTAGTTTAAGTTGTTTCTTTTTTATGCACATTATTATCAGCACCAGAAGAGCTCACCCAATTTATAAGAACCAGCTTATAGTCACTTTTGGCACCAACTGTATCATACTCTCCTTCCCCTTACGTACATCATCATTATGTCCCAAAGGCTTGCAATAAGTGCACCATTTTTGGTTTATATATTCATTGACTACACTTTGTGAATAGATCACTCCATTTGGGTCTTAAATTTTGACAACATCAGGAATTTTTGCAAGTAAGTCAAGCTCAATTTGGACCATGGCATATGCTAATCTTTGTTCCTTAACGACCAACATATCAGTAGCAATAGGTATGCCAATTAAGCTGCCAACCTTGCTAATACCCTTTGAAGGCCATATATTCAATCTGAGTCCTGATAGCTGTATCCACATAGGGTAGCAGCTGTGTTTGATCTCCAATTCCAAGCCATCATCACTCTCTAAGGTTTCAGCAATAGGGGTGTAGCTCCAAAGAACCACGGGCCTGCATCAAGCACTTGAGTTTTCTCATCTTCATTTTTAAAATTATAGATAAGTAGCCCTGGCTTTAGTAAACACACTTCAGGCATAGCAATATTTTCCCGTAAATTCTCCACATATTTCTCCATTGCCTTGAATCTAACATTCAAACCCACTCCTCAGCATAAAAGCTAGCACATACATCAACATCAGGTGTCATAAATTCTAGATCCTGTCCCTTCCCTGTTCTTCTATTTCTGCAAATAAACTTGCCCAGCTCTTAGGATTAGAGCTATCCTTGGCAACATTTTCCCATTTATGATTTCCCTTATTCATTGAATCATCCTCAGCAACGTGAGCCAAATTTGGCTTATCATTACTCCTATTTGAACCCAGAGCTTCAAATTCCTCTAGAAGAAATTTTCTAAACAAACCTATTCATAATTTTTTTTTCTAAAAATAGACCCCATTGAGTTTTATTTACAAAAATCGACCCATTTTGTCTTAATCCGGTTCCTAAATAGTCGGGGTTTCCAACCCCGACTATTTAGTGTATAGAATGTTAGAGTTTAGGGTTATAATTGGGGGTTTACAAATTACAACCTCCTAAATAGTCGGAGTTGGCAACCCCGACTATTTAGGAACCGGATTAAGATAAAGCGAGTCTATTTTTGTAAATAAAACTCAAGAGGGTCTATTTTTAGAAAAAAAATGAATGAGTTTATTTAGAAAATTTCTTCAATTCCTCTATTTCACTTTCATCTGCCCGTGAAACCCTAGATCCAGTTGCAGGGGTTGGAGATGGAGTTACCTAATTGAGTGCCCCCTCTTCAGAGCTTTGATTCTGAAGGATCTCCTTCATGGTAAGCTTCTTATTAGCCCCCGCAGGCCTGGTACTTCCCATCCGCATCAAACCTGACTCGAGCTGAACGAAGTAATCCCTTGCTTCAGTTGAGAAATTGTAACATCTGGTGTCGTCAAGAGAACCCTAGAAACAATCCCAATCATCTTGCACTTCTTCTTTGCATGGTTACTCGGAGGTGGCGTATGATAAGAATCGCCTTTTTATCGTGCACCCATCAGACAACTGCCATATATTCTTCACATTGGTCTTTTCAGCATGCAAGTTCACCACGAGGGAAGGTTCAATATCAGTTTATTATGTGACCCTCTCTTCACTTCAGCGCCAGTTCTCAATTATCAATGCTGCATTGCTGCTATACTTTGCCTCTGTTCATTATTGTCACGTCTCTGTAAATTTTCTAGCAGCCTGATTCTTTGATTGTGGCTAAATTGTCATTACTTTCCTATGGAGGTTGTTGGGCACTCTTTATGTATGTATTTGTTGTTTGTTGTGAGTCATTGCATTAGGTTGTCACATTCTGTTTCCATATTTACACTTCCTTCAAGTTCCCATGGGCTTTAGTCTATGTCAGTAGTACACTATACTGTTGTAAATTTTTCCACGGTGACCACCAGTATGTGCGATGATTCTTGGACACCTGTGTCACACTCCTTTTTGCAAAAGCCAATTATTCCTAGACCATTTTACTAAAATTAAGTGCTTTTATGTATTAATATCAAAAGATACACATTTGTGTAAGTCATTAATACATGCTGATGAAACATATCCTTGTGTCTGGATTTTTGTATATTTGCCATGCTCAAGCCTTATGACCATGTTTACTGATCATATTCCCATGCTGTATTGTGTCTGCCTCCCGGACCTATATTAATCTACTTGTGCAATTTTCTGTTATCCATACCTTCTGACAGAAAGTTGATCTTTACCCTTGCAGGAATTGCGGATGTACAACCCTAATTATCTTGAACGACCTTATATTGTAGTGTTGAATAAGATTGATCTTCCAGAGGTGAGTATTCTGATCTTTTTCTAAACTTCCCCTGTAAATGATCAGTAGTTTGTTGGTCATATTTCTCCTTCCTTGATCTTGCTGTGACACATGCTTTATGTAAATATCACATCAATTTAAATCTATGTTGCAGGCTCGGGATAGACTTCCAATATTAATGCAAGAAATTTCATCACTTGGATGCAAAGTGACAACCAAACTAGAAATGGGTGGGACACTGTCCATTGAAAGTAAGGAGCCACAGATGCAATCATTAGCATCTGATGGGGAAGCGACAAACGAAAAAAAGATTGAGGATTATCCACGGCCTCTTGCCGTTGTGGGTGCTAGTGTGCTGTAAGCTCTATTATCTTTATTTTTTTTTCTTGTCTTCCATTGTCGTGTATGCTCGCTGCTCGCACATGCCCCTGTGTGTATGTGTGTAGCGACTTATTTTGTCCTTTCATTTGTGCACGCACAAATGTCAGCTTGTTTTACGCATTTTTGTGTGTTCTGTGAGTTTATGCGCATTGTTTATTGTCTTCTACATCTCTCTAGACAAGTTTTCCTGTTTTACGCTTGTCAATCTATTCCATCTACCAGTTAAACTAAAATCCAAAGTGATACGAATAAACTAGTATTTAGATATGTTTGGACATCAGTAGATACTGTCATCTGATGTTATTGCATAACTACTGTATGTTGCAGACGGTTCACCTAGTAAGATTTAAAGACACCTCACTTGTATTTGTATGTCAACAGTAGAATGTTTTTGTCAACTTGGAAGATAATGCATGAACATATAATCCATACCATATGTTATCTTGCTGAAGGTTCCTTCCAAGTTTAAATCTGCCTTATACTTGGAGTAAGGGAGATGGTTCCATAGTGGTTCAAATTTCATATATTTGCTAGATTAGAAAAGTCGAGATTTCCACCGTCGGAGTGAAGGAAGGAGGGACAAGCTGTGTATCTGTATAGTTATATATTTAGCATGTAATGTTTATCTGTTGTGAAAAAGAAATCTCTTGCTATAAAATCAGCTGTCTTCTAGAGCCCTGCCAAAAGCTGCTTCTAAAGGAGTTTGGACAAATTTTCAAAACCAACATTTTTCAGTTTTTATTTGTAAAAACCGACCGCTTTCCAAATTATTTGTAAAAACCGACCTGGTTTCAGCCTCAGCGCTGAAACCAGGTCGGTTTTTACAAAAAAAGTTCCGAAACTTCACGGGACTTGAAGTCCCGTGAAGTTTAACAGGTATTTTACCAAGCTCCTAAACTTCACGGGACTTCAAGTCCCGTGAAGTTTATAAGTTCAAACAAACTTCACGGGACTTGAAGTCCCGTGAAGTTTGTTTGAATTTATTTCGTACGTGTGCAGGTTGGATTAGTTAAAACCCATTTCTCAGCAACGTCTCCTCGCAAATCCTCTTAATCAGCTCATTAAGATGATTTCCTAATGATGGGTTTCGAAAGGTGTCATAATTTACAGGAATTTAAATCCTAACAACATCACAAGAAGACGACAAATCACAAAACCCCAACTCAAAAAAGTGCTGAGGAGTTCTCACAACACGATCCGCGGTCCCAGCTACGCCGTCAAGAACCCTAATCTTCGTTCTTGTCTCCTCGCTGATCTTCTTGATGAGCTCCCCCAACTCAAAAAAGTGCTTTTATGAAAGTTTTTTTTTTAATATTTTTATCGGCTTGTTAGAGTACAACTGGGCTTTGGATGCTCATGAACTTGAGAGGACCTGAAACTGATGCTCAGTTGAGTTGAGTTGTCTCCTACCTGCATAAACTGGTTTTAATGCGATGAAAAAGAGATTTTGGCATCGAGAGAAATCTGGGTCTTTTCGTTGATGGCGGTTAGTTGGGGGTGAAAGGAGCTCCTTTTTTATTTTATTTTTTATTTAGAGGCCTCAAATATAACCTTGGTTCCCTCAAGCTCAGGTCACAGCATTAAGAGTTTTGAAATTGAGCGCAAATTCCACGGGAGTTGAACTCCCGTGGAGTTTCAAGGAGAAAATTAAACTTCACGGGAGTTCAACTCCCGTGAAGTTTAATTTTTCGATAAACTTCACGGGAGTTGAACTCCCGTGATGTTTCGGAAAACTTTTTACAAAAACCGACCTGTTTTCAGCGCTGGGCTGAAAACATGTCGGTTTTTGTAATTATTTTCAAAAACGGTCGGTTTTTACAAATAAAAACTGAAAAAGGTTGGTTTTGAAAATTTGTCCAAAGGAGTTTTTATTGTTAGGTTGTGAGTTTTTAGAAAACTCTTCGTAATTAGTGTTTCTCCATAATAGGAGTATTGAAAATGGAATAACCATAAATGGAGGACTCCACTGGTATTGTTGGTTAACTACAACCTTACGTTTTAAAACCCTAATTGTGCTCAAAGTTGGCTTCTAGTTTTTATAATTAATGCATTACTTGATTTGTGGTTAAAGAAATTTATATGTGAAGAATGTTGCACATGGATTCAAATGTTTCTTTTTTCCCTGGTTCACTGTGGCTTCACACGCTCGCACACACACACGCGCGCGCACACACACACACACACTATAAGCTAGAAATCAGTAAATATACGGATCTCTCTGTATGTAAGATTGACTAGTATATACGGATCTCTCTGTCTGACTAGCTGCTTTCTGTATTCTGCCTTGCATTCAAGGAGTTGATTGCTCGTGAACTCCCAAGGTGTTTGGAATGCCTGCTTTATTTTCTATGGATGGCTTAAATGAAAGAATATTTAGAAATGCTTCAACATATATTTGTTCTTTTCTATGTGAATGTCAATGCCATCACAATCTTGTCATGCTTATCTGATCCACATAAAAGACTGATAGGTTCAAGCTTTATCTTTGTCTTCAATGTTTTGTCAAAACTTCTTATAGAGTAATTATCTGTAATAATCTTTAGCATAATAAGAAGTTTTTTTTGTCTTCAATAAATGATTGTCTGGGTTACATTCAGGCAAAAAAGCTACCAAATTTGAGGTGGTGTATTGATTTTTTGCCCTAAATTTCTTGTAATTTCCACAGAAAGCGCATCAATATTGATCATATGCTGAAGGAAATAAGAGCAGCCCTAAGGACATGTCAGGGTCTTGAAAAAATGGTGGAACAAGGGACCGTACAAGATCTTGCTAGCTATATGTAGCTACAGGGAAGAACCAAACTGAAACTGTAAGCAGCTTGTTACCAGTTTTTATCCAATGTCAAAATTTCTCTGTCTAATTTTCTTATTGGGTGTAGTATTACTTTTGATTGTGAGATAAAACATGTAGATTGCTTGTGCTCCCTCACCTCGGAAGCAAACTGTCTTCATGACAGTTTTCCAGAAGATTTCTCTTCAGCAATTAATCATTACTGGGAAGTATTTCCTATATAAAGCGAATACCTTTGTTACATCATAAAATGACATAACCCTGGAAACCAGAAATTATGCATGGGAGGATGAGGAGTCCATGGTTGAGCACCCTGTATAGAATAGCTGGATTTCTATGCAAAAAAGTGGAGCAATCTGCATCGCGAGCTCTCTGTAATTCAATTGTTCGATGTTGAGGGTCTCCTATATGTGCATATAAACCTTGTTCTGTTCATTGTAACCATTTCTGGCAGTACGTTCCCTTTTTGTATAATATTTCGGGGTTCTTGACTTCTTGCACTTGCATCAAAAGTAGTAGTGAAATTACAGATATTTTGCACACGACTACGGTTATACTAACGAAGTCAAATCTAAATTCTACAGTTGGTATGATGCGTTAGCCAGTGATCATACTGGGGGGATTTCAAGTCTTAAACGAGTGCCGTACCATTTTAACACTGGACAATGTATATCTTCTGCTTTCTTGTTAATGAGCAATGACCATAAGAAAAGTATAGCATCAGATCACTCCACGTCAGCTAAAAATTAGTATTTCTATGTGCAATTGTTTATCAGTGTTCTGTTAAAATTTTCATTCTTGTCATCAGATGATGGTTGCTAGGTAAATTCAGATCCATTAATTATTTAAAAGGACAAATTTTCCAAACCGACCCATTTGGGTTTTTAATTGCAAAAAACGACCTATTTTAATTTTAATTATAAAAACCGACCCAGTTGGTACCCATTTGGGTTTTTAATTGCAAAAAACGACCTATTTTAATTTTAATTATAAAAACCGACCCAGTTGGTTGAAACTGGGTCGGTTTTTAAAACAAAACGACCTATTTTAATTTTAATTATAAAAACCGACCCAGTTGGTTGAAACTGGGTCGGTTTTTAAAACTTTTTTTCCCAAACTTCACGGGAGTTCAATTCCCGTGAAGTTTTGTTATGAGAAAAAACTTCACGGGAGTTCAGCTCCCGTGAAGTTTCCTGAAAAAATTTAAAAAAACCGACCTGTTTTCAGCCCTTGACTGAAAACATGTCGGTTTTTGTAAATATTTTCAAAACCGGTCGTTTTTTGCAATTAAAAACCCAAATGGGTTGGTTTTGAAAATTTGTCCTTATTTAAAATTCTACTTATGAAAATTTAGATTTGACGATTTTCTTTAATAGGTTTAAACTAGCGTGGATCGTCTGTTATTGACATTTGAGTTATAAATAATTGTTGACTTATATAGTTATATTTGTAAGTGCAATTTGTTTTTCTTTCATTTCCTACAACTTTCAAACTGAATCGGGCCCAAACAATGTTTTAAAAAAAAATCTCCGCCTAGTCCACCTAGTTGACATTAGTTCTAGACAGTACCTAGACCGACCATCTAGCGCCTAACATCTGGGTGGTACCTAAGTTGCCCACCTAGGTTTTGGGGAGCACCTAGGGAAGCGTGGGCTGCTCATGTAGATTACACCATCATTTAAGTTTTGATCGTGATTTTCTATTACAATCTCCTTCAACCTCTAACTATGAACGCTTCCTCTACCTCCTCTGACCTTCAACAAAACCTCCTTCACCACCACTTAAATGAAGCAAGAAATCCACACATTCGTCAACAGGCACCTAAGCTTTAACATATGTATTTACTATCTTTATTGTATTTAAAAATTAGGAAAACTGTCTAAGCCTTATATAGGCTCTAAACATCGAGTCTAACGCCTAGGCTGCTGCTAATGCTTTCTGTAACCTTAGCCCCAAGTCAACTTATTCAGTATTGTACAATCTCAATTGCACTACTAAAGCAAACGGCTATATCTCAAAAGTATTTTTGGTAAGTTATAAAGGTAACAGAAAATGCATGATTCAACATGTCCAATGGATTTCTTATTATTGCATATTGATATGTTTGTTGGAAATACAGCGCTAATTAATAGTACAAGACTTGCAGAAAGAGAATAAAAGAATAACAAAATTTGATACAACATTACTCTACACTGATTCAAGTCTTGAAGGGGGAAACGGAACAATGGCTTTATAGTATACATCTGAATGAACATGTAGTATGTCTACTTGGTATCTAACCTGTGCAACTAAAGAATAATGCCCAAATCTGAATCTGAAAATAATTTCTCATTTTCCCTGTGAGGAAGAAAACAAAGCTTTTGCGGGCGTTATGAAAAAGTATTAACTTGTCTTTGCTCGTTTCCATACAATCACTGTTCCATCAGAATCAGAGGAGGCCAGCAAGTTCTCCCCATGATTCCAGGCAACTCCAATGACTGGAGAACCATGTCCCTGCACCAAAATAATACATGAGTGGCAATAAAAAGAGATCCCACGGCTCAAAAGTAATGAATTTTTTTTAGAAATTACAAACCTGTAGCTTATTTACACATGCATGCTTTGGTTTAGTCAAATCATAGAAGTAAACATTCGAGTCCTCACTGCCAGAAACTTCAAGTTCAGCAAAAGAGTGTCAGTTTCCTGCTTTACCTAATACAGTAATCTAAAACAGAAAAATGTAGATGAGAACAAAATTGACTTGTTCATAGCATAGCTTACTGTGTAACTGGAATTTTTGAAAAGTTAACGCCGAAATTATGAGCTATAACTGAAAATCAATAACCATGTTGCTAAGGATGTACTGTACCTCTAAACTATCATTTTTATTTGGATGACCACTTTGCTCTTATGACCTTTAAGGTACTACTGTTAAAGCTTGTATTTATCAGATCATGTCCGAAGTAGTGTACTATGCATATTCTAATCTTCAATTGTGATTCTCTATTAAAGAAAAGATCTTGGAACGCACTCATTATAAGAAGATATGAGTTTATAGCTCTGTTTGACCCCCCCCCCCCCCCCCCAATCCAAAAAATCCTCCTTTCTTTCATTAATTAATATATGGCTGGCCATGCATTATTCGCTGGTCGTAGTAGAAAGTCGCGAGAAGAGAAAAACTTATTTAATTGCTGCAGTTCATGTTATATAGCACATACCTACGAATTCTCCTTTTTCAAGGGAAAGTAGGGGACAAAAAGAAGCTCGTATACTGTGCACACGGGGAGCTAATTTAAGCGAGCACAGGAGAGTCAAATATCCTTGTACCTCCAAAGCAACACTGCCAAATACACCATGCTCAACTAATGAATAGCTATCTACGGACAAGAGTAGAGTATCCAAAATCAACTTGCTTATGAAAAGTAGAACCTGAAGAAACAAAGGGTTCCATCTTGAGCAGAGACAAGTAGTACAGGACCTCGTACAACAAGAGAGAAAGTACGATACTCTATGGTTGTGATTGGAGACCTGCTCCTGCTACTTCTATTCTGATGGGACCTGAATATTGACCCTTTATGGGTGTTCACACTAACAGTGTATATGCATCCCTGTGATTTTCACTCAAATTGCAGTATTCTGGAAATACCCTTTTAGCAAATTAATATGATAATAATAGATGCAGACCTGTGTATCACCAGCAAAAGTAAGCTGACCAGTGTGAGCATTATCCATTGCTGTTATCTCATTTCCAAAAAGAGCTTTATTAATAACCCTTCCCGTGCTAAAATTTATCACCTGAAGAACGATTCCAACTGTGAGCAATGAAGCGATGTAAATCATAAATTAGAAACAAAACAAAAAGAGAAAAACTTCAGATTCCAAATGAAGTTTGGGATTTTACATATCCAATAGAACTTTACAGGATTTACAAAAAAAGTGTTCCTTCTAGGCATTCCATCCCACTAAAAAACTAATAAAATGTGAACAAGAGGAATTAGGATGTACACTGATTTCTCGGTTTGCATTGCCAACCAATAGCAAGTTATTATTCACCTGCAAACAATGCAAAGCAGAAGCTGAATATGTTTCATGAAACTAAACGATGATAATGATGACGATAGACATATAGGAGATGAGCAGCCCATGAGAAATTTGCTAAAACGACCACTCAAAAGTCAAAAGTACCATGATGCGTTATTAAAATAGACGATCCACAGCGTTCATAATGATCTTTACCCCCTTGAACATTTATTAAATAAAAAAGTTGTCTGGAGATTCATTTTTACCTTGCAGCAGATGGTAGCAAAATCAATGTAATTTTTAAGACGTCACACAATTTCCTATTCACATGCCTTTAAAGAGGGGAGTAACTCATGATGATTTGTGTAGATCATCCATCAGGACGATCCATAACGTGTATTCGAGAGCCTGGCATTGGCAATTTCCTATACTGCAAGCTCACAGCCCAGGCCATTTCTACCTACCTACCTACTGACCTATATACTCTTACATGAGTGCGCGTGCGCAAGCACACATCTGTGGTATGAAAAAAAAAAAAGATTCTCCAACTTAAGTGAAAAAAGAACTGATAGTAGAATTAGGAAGAAACAATGAACTTCAGATGCAAAGTTCCTTTAGTGCAATGGATTCTGTTCACGTACACCATACCATGTCACATGCATACGCACATCTGTGGACGCATAAAGAAAACAATAGCTTTCCCAATTTTATGTCAAAAAAGAAATTGGAGTCAGAACATAAAGATCACAGATTGAAACATTCTACTTAGCTGAACGAAGGAAAAGAAGAATGGTTCAGTTACTGGCATTTGAATTTTCCTACCAAATTCATTTTTTAAAAAAATACTGCATTTCCATCAGCAGCAGGACGAATCTTTCAATTGCGGAGCCTAATTCTAAAGAGGGACCCTTTCGAGAAAAATTAATAGGTCACATAATTCTTAGTATCTAGCATGTTGATTTCTATGTTTTACTTTTAGAAGAGTGGTTCTGAGAATCCTCACCAATACAAGTGTTAAAAATCATGAACTTTACTTTGATTTTATATTTCTCCTAACATGATAACATACTATGTGTTAAGTAATATATATTTTGAGTAGGTTCCCCTAAAGGATGACTCAAATTCTACCTAGTTTCAATTGATAATAAAAAAGAGATCTGATCCCATTTCCAAATCCACCACGTTGACCTTGCTATATCTACCTAATAGCATCCTCAATCTTAACTTGCCACCAATCTCATCAGATATCACAATGTTTACATGCACAGTCCTCATCACGCCACCTTATTGACCTACTCTTAAAGATCTCACAATCCCATCAACCTCACCATCTCACCATCCCATCACCTTCACCTTGCTGATCGTTCCAAGCTATCTTAGGATATCTCATTCACTGACTGATGATCGACAACATGACGATGAACAAATCCAAACCAGCTATTAAATGTTATAGAGCTGTGGACAATGTTGTTTTGGGTGCACCAACACAATCGCACTGGGGAGCAGAATGCTTTGGGGCACAGCAGCATGCCCATCATGAGGTGCAGAGTGCACTGTGTAAGCAAGGCGTGTGCCTAGATGCAACTTGGTACGCCCTGCACCTCATTTCTCAATGTGCCTTGTTGTTCTACTATATGCTACATCATTCTTCCTCTTCCGTTTGCCTCTATTTCCTCATTCTCTTTCTCCTTTTTTTCCATGTTTCTCGTCTACTCCTCGAATCTAAGTTTATTTACTAATTGAGATACTGCAAAAGATGATTTTTTTTCCTACATCTATATCTTCATATGGTGAGCAATTATTCACCTTCTATACACAAAACACAAGTGGAAGAATTATACCATAAAAAATCTGAATTGCTTAGGATTAATGAGCAAATAGAATATTGTAAAGGGTATAGCACAGAAGATTTGGATAAACAGGACATATTTGACAACTATTTTTCATTTATTAGGAAAGGTTTTATATAAAAAATGACATTAACTTGACCGAACCTTTTAAAAGTTGTGGGTTTATTTAGATCAGGTAATTCAAACAGGGAAATATATAATGCATCTGGATTTGTTTCGGGTCTAAATCTCTAATGATCAAACCAGCTGTCAGTTACCTTACAGTATAAGAAATCCTTCAACTTGAAATAAACCTTGCTTTTATTTTCGGGGAGAAAGGAAAGACAGCGTGGCTACCACCATTATTCTAGTTAAGAAATCAACACTGGAGGGGTGAAGGGGGGTTTCCAGGTAGTTTTAATTCTTCATTTTATTATCTTATTCTCTTTTTCCTCATTTCCAGCATTAATCCTCTTATCCTCAAATCCAAAAATTATGAACTATACAAGAGGATCCGTTCAGGCAGTTGGTAATATATGGTTTGAAAGGGTGGGTAATGGGTACTGCATCAAGACGATGGCATGAGATGCATATATCTAACAAAAGAGATGCATTTTCATTTAGTCTAATATCCTTTATTTAAAGGAAAATGAGGTAAATGTCAATTCAGTATAAAAAAGGGTTGTGGATTGAGATTGTTTGGGCATGCGCAGAGGAAAAAAACAAGTGAGCAAGATAGGAGTGAATGATGGTAGATGATGAGGGCAATAAACCTAAGAGTAGATCTAAGCATGAGTTAAGGTAAAGAAAAAAAATGATATGCTAAATTGTCGATGTAATAGACGGAATGATCCTTACTATATATAAATGAAGAAAAAGGACCATGCAGTCGATTTAACAATTTGGGAAAAAGGTTTTTTCATTCTTAGGCTATCCTAATGGACTGGTATTAAATTTAAGGGGTATGTGGGAGTAATTTTGGAAATATCAAGATTTAACAAGCAGATTTGCAAATACGAAAGATTTGAGGCATAAATATGGCCCTCACTTGCTCTCTTAAGGAACATACCAGGTATATTCCCTTTACTTATGCTAGACATTATGGAAATGACTAATTTTATCATTTTTATAACTTCTTATTACCAAATGATAGAAATATTTTAATTTAAGTTGAATTATGCAAGGTTCGAATTTTTGAGATATTGCTAGACGGAGAAGTTGGACATGGATGTATAGTGTATCAATATAGCAC